GGCTCCGCTCCCGGGCGATGCCGCTGCTCTCGCAGACATAGCTGCCAGCCACCCAGTCCCGGAGCCGCTCCGCCCACGGGCACCCGCCCGCCCACTGCCCAGGTCCGAGCCCCGCGTGCCCCAGCCGCTCCCCCACGCCCGCCAACGTGCACGCCACAGCGCTCTACCCCCAGGTACCCCTCGCCCGTGAGTCATCCTCCTGGTCCCTCCTTTATGTCATCCTCCCCGGTCGTGTTTTTTCACGGGTTGCATTAATCATCATCATCCTCGCTACCATCTTCATCATAGAGCATTTAATACTGTGTGAGCATCCACGATGTTCCCAACAGCAGAATGGAAACACTCTCTGGTCGCATTTCCCCCCTTTCCTGCCATCATGCATTTCTCATTTACTAGTCAAGTGTTCACAGCCACAAGAAAGTGTTGTGTGTGTGTGTGTGTGTGTGTGTGTGTGTGTGTGTGTGTTTAGATATTTTGGTGTGTGTGTGTGTGTGTGTGTGTTTAGATAATTTGATACACACACAAACACACACACACTCACACACACACACACACACACACGCACCTCCAACAGCTTGGATTTTCTGGGTACATTGGACTCTTCAATGCAGTGTCTTTTTGACCCAACCTGACTAGCGCTGTATCCTATTTTCCCCTCAAGGTAACCCACAGTAAGGTAACTCTTCAATTTGTGGGGCTCTCTGGGAAGCCCCAATGCATCACATAACTGCACTTCTCTGGTGCTTGCAAATTGATTATCTACTCTAATTCCTCTAATGATGGGACTGTCATCGAGCACTCATTGCTTGACCTCTGTAGGTACTTGTCCAGAAACGCTAACCCCAGATAAGAAAAACACCCAACCAGACCCTATTGTATTTAAGAGCTTCTCAATGCCTGGCCCAAATGATAGGCATTACAGATGAGCTTCTCTTGCTGATAGAGGCTAAAATAAATAGATCGTCCCTTCAAAATAGGTATTGTTATCAGCTTTGAAACCTAGAGACTGAGCTTTGTTAATATAATTATAAGAGAATCAATATAGAGAAGGATTCAAATGGAACAATTTCCTAGTGAGGACCTCTTAGCAATGATGATAAGAGAATTGCTATGTTTTCTCTCTTGGGGCTTTCTCTCTTGTTCCAGAAGGGAGTTTTCATGTACGTATGTATTCCCTCTAAGCCTCTTTATTAATGGACAAGAAGCCAAAGAAATGATGATTCATATGAATCCCAGCTTTTCAAGTTTAGGGAACCTAAGAGTTTAGTTGATTTGTCATTAAAGGCAGAAGTTGCTTCTACATGGACACAGCTATTTGAATACACTCAGTAATAGAGGTGCTCTACCTCTTCATTCCATACCTGGGTCTAAATCTCTTCTCATTGAAAATCTTTCCTATTTGAGACAGCTATCGTGCCGTTAGTCTTCTCTGGAGTAAACCTTCCCGGTTTATGCAACCAGTAACTCTCTAGCTTCATTTCAACAACTGGTCATTCTGGTCACCTGCCTTTGGACACACTTAGGTTTTTGTCACCTCCCTTCCAAAATAAGGATCAAGAAATCTGTGGCCAAGAACTGTGTCTGGAACTTATTATGTTCTCAGTAATGTTCTTATTTTTATTTGTACAGCACAGGTCTTGTGGTTGGCGTGCCATTTATGAGGATGCCATTGAAATAGACATATGGTATACTACATTTCCAAGTATTTTTTTATAAGTGCCACTGTCATTTAATTAAACAACTGATGAAAACAATTGAATCATCTTTTCTTCATTTTAAAAAAAGTATGCCGTACCCACAAAATATACATTGAGTACATGTAAACCAGAAATTGTAATTCAAAAAATATTCGTTTCCCTCAGTTCCACATATATTCAGAAAGAAAAATGCTGAGTTGGAAGCTCTACCCATGATTTTGGCCAAATCACTCAACTTTCTTGAATTTCTTTCTCTTCCTTCTATAAAATAGAAACAAAAATCTTTGTCTCAAAATAAAAGAGAAATTAAAAAAAAAAAAAGATGTATTTGAAGCATCTAGCTACACACGAGACTTTGGAGTTCTCTTTTTCTATTTCTTTCTCTCCCCAAGAGATATATTGGGCCATATCTCAATTATTAATACACAAAAAGTAGAAATGTAGATAATATATTCATTCTACCAGATATATGTCTCTTTACTTGCCAGTGTGGAAATGCAATGATGCAACAGACAAAGACATTGTCTTCAAGACGTTTATAATCAAGGTGGTTCTCGTGAAATTCTTCTAAAATACAATTAAAGGAATTATAAAGCTTCAGTGCACATTAGAACTAGCTGAGTAAAGCTCTTGATGACAGGGACCTAATGAACAATTAATAATGGTGCTCTAATTTGCTCTGGCTGCCATAAAAACATACCACAGACAAGGTGGGTTAAATAACAGAAATGAATTTTCTCACAGTTTTGGAGACTAGAAATTCAAGATCAAGGTGTCGACAATTTGATTTCTCCTGAGATTTCTCCCCTAGCTGTCGATGGCCGGCCACCTGCTGTGGCCTCACATGACCTTTTCTCTGTGTACACATACCCTTGTCACTCTCCCTTTACTGAGAAGGACACGGGCCCTGTTGGATTAGGACCCTACCTTTATGACCTTATTTAACCTTAAGTATCTCTGATTTGTACCCTATATCTGAATGCAGTCATGTTCTAGGGCTTCAACGCAGGAATTGGGGAGAGGGGCATGATTCAGTCCATAGCAAAACAAGTGGTTTCCGTTGGTTAGGATTACTTTGGGAAATGGTAATTGACATGTATTATCTGGATAACTTAATGAAAATGAGTCTGTTTCTCAGTCATCTTTATGGTGGTATCTATTAATACTTCCCTGGGTTCTGTATGGCAATATAAAATCAGTGAGTGAATCAATAAGTGAGCAAATGCACTGACCAATACATTAGAAGTTGCCTTAGTGCAGTCCACCAGTGTCTCCACTTCCATCAAGAGTCTCATCCATTATGGAAGGACGTAAAACTAATTTCTAAAACCCAAGAAAAATGCCTTCACAAATTCGCCTCCAAAAAAGCAGAACTTATCTGCATCTAGGTAAGTAAGCAAACACCCAAAGTAGGTGTAACAAAGTGTGTGGCACAGATGATTACTCCCCAAAGATGCTCTATAAAAACATATTCGGTGAACTTGTAAAAGATGCACAGTTCTTCCCTCAAAAATAAATCGTAAATAGTAATATATACTAAGAAGCAATTGTCTATTACGGTAAAGAAATCTGGGCTTGTTTTGGTTTGCCTTGGCCTCATATTTCCCAAATGAGTTGGGCGTGAAACTATGTTCCCCTGATGAGGAAACAGGCCTCACATAAGCTTTGGGGAAAACCCTGACTCAGAAACCAAGTATCTAAAGGCATTAACTAGACAGTCATGAATTTCTAATGTGATTTTCATTAGAACCCAACCAATGATTTTTGTAGGAAAAAAAAGTCTCAAATAGCTATTCATAAGATGTATATAGAGACCACCAGATGGAACAGTGGTTATATTGCAGGACTCCCACATGGCCGACTGCAGCTCAAGTCCTGGACCCAGTGGCTTGAAAATTAGGCTGGACGTGTGTGCATGCATGCCCAAGATCCTGGGAGGAAAGTGAAGGAGAAGGAACTGTGACATTGCCATCCCCCCTGAGGGGTGATTTCTCACTTTCCCTCTCACTGTCTCTCTCTCTCTCCAGCGAGCACACACACCTTATGGCAAAAATCTCTTAAAAAAATAGAAAAGTGTATCACATGCCCTTAAGGTCAATGCTGACATTATGTTATATGCTAGTCAGAAATTATGACATATATACAAAGGCCCTAAAAGGTAAGCCTTTCTTCCCATTGATATTCTCAAACCTTCATTCCTCGAAATAACTAAAATTTGACACCACTGTTAATAGCTAACATTATAACTTCATAGCTGAAAATCATTAAAATGAAGTCAGGTGTAACTCCTCACACTCCACTTGATAGCTGTAGTGGATTAGATACTCTCCTCCACGAAATGATAGCCATCTATAAACTCAGAATGGGACTGCATTTGGAAAAGGGTCTTTGGTAGATGAAATTAAAAAAAAAAAAAAAAAAAAGAGATCATATTGGATTAGGATGGGCCCTAAACCTCATGGGTGACGTCCTTATAAAAGGAGAGGGCATGTAGACACACAAGAAAACTGCCATGTGTGAGTACACAGAGGGAAGAAGGCCACATGAAAACAGGCAGAGTGGAGTTACACAACCACAAACCAAAGAATGCCAGGAGCCACCCGAAGCTAAAGAGGCAAGAAACGATTGGACCCCAGATACTCCAGAGAAAGCATGGCCCTGCCGGAACTATTACTTTGGACTTAAAGACTTCACAGCTTTCAAAGAATAAATTTCTCTTGCTTTAAGCCACATGGTTTGGGATACTTTGCTACAGCAGCCCTAGGAAACTAATACAGTGGTTACGTGAGTTTGGATGAATTACTAAACATCCCTAAGTCTTTTTGGCTTGTATGTAAAATGGAAATACCAATAACTACTGTCTAAAATTTCATTATGGTAAAAGATTGTGAATATGTAGACAGACCCTGGCAAGTAGTAGGAACTCAATTCATTCATCCTTTTAGTGTATATTTATTAAGCACCTGAGTTGTGCCAAGTGCACAACTTTTTCCCTACAAATAGGGAACAAGTCTACAGGGTATGAGCTCAAGAGAGGATTGACAAACTATGACCATGAGCCAAATGCAGCTAAATACCTGCT